AATGAAGCCGGGGGTGGGGAGGAAGGGATTGAGGGGAGGCTTAGACCCAGGGGTGTGGTTTATAGAAAGGTTTTGTTAGAAGCCCTGGCTGGTGTGGCTCAGTGGATAGAGCATGGGCCTGTGAATTGAAGAGTCCCAGGTACGATTCCGGTCAGGGCACATGCCCGGGTTGTGGGCTGGATCCCCAGTAGGGGATGTGCAGGAGGTAGCTGATCCTTGATTCTCTCTCATCGATGTTTCTCTCTCTCTCCCTCTCCCTTCCTCTCTGAAATCAATAAAAATAAATTTTAAGAAAGGTTTTGTTAGGGAAGCTAACAAAGGTCTGCCCACACTATGTCAGCAAAGCCAAACACGGAATATCAAGGCTTGTGATGGCGAAAGTGAAGTCGTTTTGTTTGCAAGGCGCCAAGCAGGGACACAGAAAGCTGTCTCTTCACACTTCCTGGTGGCGTTTAACCCAGGGTCCGGGTGACAGGCAGCCCCGGGTGCAGTTTGGCCCTTGGCCATTTACGGTTCAGATGTAGCAGGGGCTTCCCAACTGACCCTGCGCCAGGAGCCCTCGGTTTCTGCAGGTTCCCAGGTGTTCAAGCTCCAGCCACAGCACAGTCCCTCCGACAGGGGCAGAAACGGAATGACTGTGAGGAAGGTGAGTCCTGCTCTGTGGCCGGGATTGCTGTTCTGGTTGCAGAGGCGCGTGCTCACCTGGCTGGGAGCTGCAGTGGGACCCGGGGGCTCACCTGGGAATGCGGCCCATCCCCCCACCAGGAGCTGCCTGTGATCATGAAAGACGAGCAGCCTCATTGCAGAGACCAGAGCCCCCAGCCCGTCAAGGCCCCCAGCCTTTGCTTACCCGCAGGCCTTTGCTTACACGCAGGCCTTTGCTTACCCACAGGTCTTTGCTTACCCGCAGGCCTTTGCATATCCAGCCCGCATTGCCTGTGAACAGCCCATCTGGTACACCCTCTGCCTCCTTCCCCTGTAATCTCTGTTCTTCTACCCAATACAGCAGCTGGGCGGGGCGGGGGGGCGGGAGCAGCTTTCTGTGGGTGACCTGCTGCTCTCCACGCTGCCGGCAGGACTGGAACACACGCTCATAGGATTCACCGTCTCTGCCGACTTGGCTCAGGTAGTGACGGGCGGCCGGACCCCTGGGTTGTCCAGTTACACCCATAAGTGACGGGAAGACAAGTAGATGGTTCATCAGTGGCCTGGAAGGCAGGAGGCAGCTGCAGGGTGAGGCAGGACCAGTTCAAGGGAGGGGGTGGCAGACACTGGAGAAAGAGTGGGGGTCAGTTTCCCTGTGCCCTCCCTCAGGGGGCACCCAGCTCGTCCACACACCAGCCACAGGCACAGTCAGAGCTGTGTCAGTGCGGTGGCAAGAGGCAGGCAGCCAGTGCACGGGGCTCTCCACAAAGTGGGGTGTCCCTCAATCTGCCCTTCAGGCTGGGCTTCACTGTACCCTGCAGCCCAGGCCTGCCGCAGGCCACTCATGGCGCTCTTCCTGGGGGAGGGGGCAGGACAGGGCCTAGAGTGGGGGCAGCTAAAAGAAATATGTCCCCAGATGTGTGGTCTGCAAACTGGGCCTGGTGGGAACTGGGCGCCCACTTCCATCTTCCCAGAGGGCCAAGGTGCTGCCTCCTGCTGTCACCCAGGGAAGCTCCATGTGGCAACAGGTGGTCCAGGGAGTGTAACCGGAAAACCCAGGGGTCCGGCCGCCTGTCACTACCTGAGCCAAGTCGGCAGAGACGGTGAATCCTATGAGCGTGTGTTCCAGTCCTGCCGGCAGCGTGGAGAGCAGCAGGTCACCCACAGAAAGCTGCCCCCGCCCCCAGCTGCTGTATTGGGTAGAAGGACAGAGATTACAGGGGAAGGAGGCAGAGGGTGTGCCAGATGAGCTGTTCACAGGCAATGCGGGCTGGATATGCAAAGGCCTGCGGATAAGCAAAGACCTGTGGGTAAGCAAAGGCCTACGGGTAAGCAAAGGCTGTGGGTAAGCAAAGGCTGTGGGTAAGCAAAGGCCTGCAGGTAAGCAAAGGCTGCGGGTAAGCAAAGGCTGGGGGCCTTGACGGGCTGGGGGCTCTGGTCTCTGCAATGAGGCTGCTTGTCTTTCATGATCACAGGCAGCTCCTGGTGGGGGGATGGGCCGCATTCCCAGGTGAGCCCCCTGGTCCCGCTGCAGCTCCCAGCCAGGTGAGCATGCGCCTCTGCAACCAGAACAGCAATCCCGGCCACAGAGCAGGACTCACCTTCCTCGCAGTCACAGCTGGCCCCGCGTTCCGTTTCTGCCCCTGTTGGGAGTGGCCTAGACACTTAAGGTCACAGCCCCACTGGCCAAGGTCACAGCCCCGGTGGCCAAAGGCGGGCATGTGGGGAGCCTTGTGGTCTGTGAACCGTCCAGCACCATCGCCTCCATCTCCCTGGGCAGGACCAGGGCTCCCATGGGCACCTTCCCTCGTGCCCAGCCCTGCCTTTCCAAGGTGGGGACCAGGGGAATCTGGAACCAGCCATCTCGGCTCCCCATCCCTCACCGCAGCCTGCAGGAACCAGGGACAGCTTTACACTGGCCCTTGCCCTGTGCTGCCCAGAGTGAGAGGCCAGGCTCCCCACCTCCCGCGTCTGGGAGGAGCTCAGTGCAGAGACCACACTCCCTCCAGGACTTAGATCCGACTCCAAGATGGTCAGCATGCCCCCCACCCCCTCACCGTCTCCCTGTGACGCGGACCCAGGCCCTGCAAACTCCCATCTCCGCCTCCCAGAGGATGAGCCAACCACGGGTCCCTTCTCGCCAACCTGGACACAGTGCCCACACCGGGCCTGACCATGCGTTGGCCAGGCTGCTCTCCCCTGAACTTCGACCCCTTCAGCCTATGCCAGCATGGGTGCTCGGAACAGCCCTTTGTGAATGACCTTCCCGGGACCCCGCTGACCTCCCGGCCGCCTGCTCCACCGGCCCCTCACCTGCTGTCCCCGGCCCTGGTCCACCTTTCTCTATGAAAACGTCCTTTCTGGTGACCTTTGAACACGGAAGTCCTCCTTCCTGCGGCCAGAGTCCTCCCCTCCTATTGCAATTGTCTTTTCTACGAAAGTCTCTCCTCAAGCGAGGCTTTGTTTTTTTTTTATTGATCTCAGAGAGGAAGGGAGAGGGAGAGAAGGAGAAACATCAGTGATGAGAGAGAATCATAGATCGGCTGCCTCCTGCGTGCCCCACTCTGGGGATCAAGCCCGCAACCCGGGCCTGTGCCCTGACCGGGAATTGAACCAGTGACCTCCTGGTTCCTAGGTCCACACTCAACCCCTGAGCCACGCCGGCCGGGCTGGGCTTGGTTCTTTGTTTGACACCAGCCCAGGAGCAAAGACCCCTCTCACAGACGGCCCTCCACTCTGCGGTGACCTGGTGAGCAGCAATGGCAGGACCCCCCTGTCCCTGCTCCCGATGCTGCCCGGTGCGGCCCGCCCAAGGCTCGCTGGGCAGCCGCAGAGCAGGCGCCCCTGGGGGCGACCCAGGCAGCTCTGTGCTAAGTGCTTCTCAGGGGCCTTCTCAGCCCATCGGCCGGGCACCCTGACTGTGCCCATTTCTCGATATGGAAACTCCCACCAAGAGAAGGGGAGCAAACGGGTCCAGGACTGAGGACACACGGCCTCCTCCGCCACAGGAGGGCAGCTGCGCGCCCGCAGGCCTGGGAACACGCGTGTCCCTGCCGCCAGCTTCCCTCTGAGGGCCAAGTCGCTCTGTGGACAGGCGATGCTGGGAACAGGCCTGGCACTGCGGCCGGTAAACACTCACTGTTGGTACCGCCACCGCCACGAGGGTGGCGGCACTTGCCACCCTGCCCAGAAGGGGGCAGTGCTGGGCTAACCGGCCGGAGTCTTACAGCTAAAACGCTTCCACTCTTCTCCAGCCTGCGGCCTGCACCTCGGTTGCAGGTTCCATCCTGGCCAATCCATGTGTCTCTCCGTGTCTGCCCCGCCCTTCCACCCTCACCTCTAAAATCCATGCGAAGACATCCTGGGGGAGGAGAGCAACAGATAAGATGAAGTGCTGCTGCTCTCGCTCTGTGTGGCCGCCCTGCTGCCGCTTCTGCTCATCGCCTGTCGGCGCCGCCAGGAGGGCGAGCTCCCCGAGGGCAGGAGCGCTCCCAGTGCCTGCTGCGAGCTCCCTGCAGGGCCAGGGCCGCTCAGAAACAGACGAACGGATGAACGAACAGATGAATGAACGAACGAAGGGACAAACGGATTCCAAGCTCGTGCTCCGAACCACGCGGCTCTCAGGCAGCTTTCTGGTCCGAGACCCGCAGCCTCCTGGGAAAGCCCCAACCCCCCGCCTCCCCCCATCAACCATGGCCCCTTCCCTTCACCATGACCTGGTGGGTTTCCTGAAACCTCCACCTGCAGCGCCTCGTGTGAGCCACTGAGTGTTTCATGTCTCCAATTCCCTGAAGAAGCGGGCTCCAGAGGGCACACCGGACGCGGCGGCCCGGCCCCCCTCCTCGCCCCGCCCGCCACCACCCGCCCCCCCACCCCGTCCTCGCGCCCCCCCGCCACCACCCGGCCCCCCCGTCCTCGCGCCCCCCCGCCACCACCCGCCCCCCCCCTCGTCCCACCCGCCCCGCCCCTGTCCTCGCGCCCCACCCTCCACCACCCGGCCCCCCACCCCTCCTCGCGCCCCACCCTCCACCACCCGGCCCCCCCCCCTCGTCCCACCCGCCCCGCCCCTGTCCTCGCGCCCCACCCTCCACCACCCGGCCCCCCACCCCTCCTCGCGCCCCACCCTCCACCACCCGGCCCCCCACCCTCGTCCCACCCGCCCCGCCCCTGTCCTCGCGCCCCCCCCGCCACCACCCGCCCCCCCCCCCCGTCCTCGCGCCCCACCCTCCACCACCCGGCCCCCCCCCCTCGTCCCACCCGCCCCGCCCCTGTCCTCGCGCCCCACCCTCCACCACCCGGCCCCCCACCCCTCCTCGCGCCCCACCGGCCACCACCGCTCCCCAGGCCCGGCTCACCTGCACAGCTCCAAGCGGGTGCGTGGGATTCCCGCCCGCTGAGCGAACGTCCCCAAGTGGAGCGGATGTTTTGCCTTTTGCCGGGCAGTCTGCGGGTATTTTTGTCCGCCTCTCACCGCGGAGGAGGGAAGCTCCCAGCTCGGAGCTGCTCTCCTTTTACAACCGCAATTAGGACAGCGACAGAAACGCACGCGGCCGGCGCCGCCTTAAGCCATATTTGATCATCATACTGAAGAAGGTCACCGTGCAGGCATCGGCCGGGTGATGCGTCCCAGCTCCGCTGCAGGGAGGAGCGCGGGAGGGAGCGGCCCGTCTCCCGGGCCTGGCGTCTGCTCACTGAGCCCACAGATCCATCCTCCCACCGAGCCCACGCTCTGTGCGTCCTTCACGTTGGACGCCGCCTGCCCCCCTCACCCCCCACGCTCCCCCCCGCGACACGTGGAATGGATGGTTATTACAGTGTTCTTGTCACTGCTCCCCCAGCAGGTCACAGGCGACTGGAAGGCATTGGTCTCTCCCTAACTTGCTGTTCCAGACGCAAATGACAGCAGGACGGGAGGGCTTGGGGCTGGGGTGGGAGCTGACAAGGACATCTGACGGCCCTCCTGCCCAGCACACAGCACCGCGGGCATGCGGATGGATGGGTACAGGCCCACCTCATGCCCTCATTCATACCCGGCACCACACACACCTGCCCTAGACACAGGATTCACAGCCACATGCAAACACTCCCTTACACCCCCATCCACAGGCACATTCACATAACTGGCACACATGTTTATATAAATCTGTTCTGTTCTGTGACCCACAATCGCAAAACACTTCCATCCCCCCAAATCCACACCCATGCACACACACCCACAGGCATGCCACACACAACGTCCCTGCCCCTGGGCCAGTGATGGCGAACCTTTTGAGCTCGGCGTGTCAGCATTTTGAAAAACCCTAACTTAACTCTGGTGCCGTGTCACATATAGAAAGTTTTTTTATCTTTGCAACCATAGTAAAACAAAGACTTATATTTTTGATATTTATTTTATATATTTAAATGCCATTTAACAAAGAAAAATCAACCAAAAAAATGAGTTCGCCTGTTACCTCTGACACGCGTGTCATAGGTTCACCATCACTGCCCTAGACACACAGCTCGTGACCATAGACATCCTCAGACCTCTATCCACATACAAGCTCACATGCATGTACACACACACACGTGCACCTTGACCTACAGGCCCCCCACACACAACTATCTATCTGCTCATGGACACACTACTCATAATCACAGACAAGGCCTGCACACCCAGTCCCACGATGCAACTCACCAATATGCACATGTGCATGCATGTGCACATGGATACACATGTTCTCTCACACACGCTGCCCTCCCACTGCATGGCACAGCCCCTCCTCCCCCCAACAGTCCAGGCTATGCGGCAGCATCAGCAGCTTTTCAGCTTTTGAGGCCTCCCAGGCTGGGTGCTGACCCCCACAGAGAAAAACACAGATAGACACACATTTGCCCCCAATCCAAGGATTTATCTTTCCTGAAACCCCCAGAGTCTCCACTGCAAGCCCCCGACCCGGGGGTCCTGGGAAGCCCTGTTCCTGCCCTTGGGGGGCCGCGGGTGCACTGTGGCGGGTGCGGAGGCGGCAGGCCCATTGCTTTCAGGAGGTGTTTTGGTTGCTGTGTTTGATGACGACCATCACCATCCTCAGTGAGGCTCTCCAGACGGCAGTGTTCAGCTCTGCCAGGGAGAGAGCCCAGGCTTTCCTGGGAGGGACAGTGCCTCTCAGAGCCTGGGGAGCTGGCTGATATGGCCAGGAGTCCCTGCGCCGCCCGGATTGGTCTGTGCTCATGCAAATAAGAACTCTAAATCCTCAAAGCTTGATTGGTCCAAAAGGCACTGTCCATTAGTCAGAACAGCGCTGCTCTGCAGGACAGACCTCGGCTCCCCGAAGGCTCCCTGCGACCCAGTCCCCTCAGACCTCCCTTCTCGGTCCCCCCCTCAGCTCCTCCAGCCGCTCCCGTGGCTCGGCACAGTCACCGCCCGGGCGCCCTCCCGTGCCCCGTCCGCACAGGCTGCGCCCCCTCTGTGAGTGGGAAGGCGCCTCAAACGGCTGTGGGAAGCCTCCACTGTTACCCAGGCCTAACTGCACCCCCCCTCTCCCCGCAGGGATGAGAATGGCCCCCCAGTAGCTCCTCTGTGATCCCAGCCATTCTGCATCTCCTTTGCCAATGGCTAATGCACAACCCCCAAGGTCACAGAATGAATGGCCTGCGAGTCCATGAAGCGAGGGGAGGGGTACTTTTACCCATTAGCCCGACCCCCAGAATGGGGCCTGTCTGCTTGGTGCTCGGGGAGACCCAGGGCGGGAGCAGCAGCCTGAAAGCACCCGCGGGGAGGAGAGTAGGGCCGTTCTCCGGGTCCAGCACTCGGCCGCAGGTGCCGGGCTGAGGAAGCCTGTTCTTTCTTTCCTGCCCCTTCTTCCCAGGGGTCAGAGGTCGGCTCTGTGAGAGCTGTGAGCCTGGCGTGGGGACCAAGTCCAATGTGGATGCTGCTTTTGGCTGAGGCAGGAGATTGGACCAAAAGATAACGGGACTCCTTACCCCTTACCTCTCAGCCGTCTTCTTCACTCCCTCCTTCCTGCCATTCTAAGCCAGGCATCTGCCCTGGAGACACAGGAGCTCCCTCCACAGCCACCCCCCCCCCCAAGCTCCGCCCCAGGAAGGCCCTCCATGGAGGGGGCTGCCCACCCAACAAGGGGTAATGTATGGAACTGGGTGGCGGTGTTTTAAATTGTTCCATTTACATGCAAATAGGGAGATGGTTTCACAGAATAAACTGTCTTATTTGTGTTCGGCCCAACTCCCTCCCAGGGAAACTGGGAGCAGTTTGGAGCCATCCTGGCACAGAACCCCCACTTTTCCCTAAGGACTAGGGGACCCACCCATGCCCCTGGGGGTGGTGACTTAGAAACAAATGCTCATCACAACTCACTGTCAGGGTCCAGGCCATGCCAAGTGCTCAGCTGGGCTGTCTCCCCCACCTCCACTCCAGTCAGCTGTGGGCAGGGCAGGGGCAGGGCAGCTGTGGGCAGGAGTGCAGCTGTGGGCAGGGCAGGGGCAGGGCAGGGGCAGGGCAGCTGTGGGCAGGGCAGGGGCAGGGCAGCTGTGGGTAGGGCAGGGGCAGGAGCAGGGTCTTCACCTCTGTCTCCAGGAGTGACAGGAAGCGGGGAGCTCCACCCCCTCCACCCAAGGGGACTCTTTCCTGCTGAGGGCCCAGCAGTGGGCCCCCCTCGTGCTGAGATGCTGACTGTGGGCCATCTATTCCACGAGTGTTTCTATCCTAACGGGGTCCCCAGACACAGAACTGCCTCGAACCACCTCGGGCACCATCCCATGTGCCAGGGGAACGCATTTATGTTCGGGGCAGAAGTAGAATGTGGGGACCAGATACAATGATAAGAACTATCAGTCCTGCCCTGTTAGCCTGACGGTTCTGTTCTGGTTAGAAAGCGCCTCTCACCTGGCTGGGAGCCGCAGGCCCTGGGACCTGGCGCTCACATCCGAAAGGGCCCATCCTCCTTCAGAGCCGCCTGTCATTGTGGAGAGACTGACACCCTCGGGGCTGAGACAATCCGGTCCTGGAGGCACCTGCTCCTTACAGCCCCAGCCGCTATGGCCTGGGGTCTGGGCCCGGGGCGCCCGCCCTCTGCGACCCCCCAGCCCCCGTGACTGGTAACCTGTGATGATTACCCATGCCCACTTCCCCTGCCTGTAATTCCTATTTCCCCGCGCCATCTCTGTCCTTCTGCCCAATACAGCAGCGGCTTGGGGGAGGGGGGGGAGGAGCAGCTTTCTGTGGGTGACCTGCTGCTCCCCCACGCTGCCCGCAGGATTGGAACACACCCTCATAGGATTCACCTGTTTGCTGAATTGGCTCAAGTGACAGGCAGCCCTGGCTGTCTGGTTACATTTAGGGGAAGGAGAAGGACCTCTGTCCCCCCTTCCACCCCCAGGATGCCAGCGCTGCCATCTCTTGGGATTGGGCCACCACCACCCATGAGCTTCCAGAGGCCTGGAGGCAGGGCAGACTGGGGTGGCCTGTGGGGCCTGGGCTCCGGCCCTGCCTCCTGTGGCTCTTCTGCATCATGGTCCTCAGACTAGACCACCCAGATCACACCCACGGAAACCAGGAGAGAAAGCTCCTGAGACTCGGCCAGAGAGGCCCAAAAGGGTCCCCCCAACCCTCGGGAAACTCCCTCCATCGCACCTCCGGCCTGACCAATCCCGGCAAGATTCCTCAGACCAGCCAGGCCACCCTGGGCTGGGGCGGCCCCTCAGGGCCCTGTGAGGGCAGGGCGGGTGGGCGGCGGGGGAGGCTGCAGGGGCGGGGAAGCTGGTGGTGCTTTCATGGTTGTGGTGTTGCTCCCAGAGCCCCGCGTGGGTGGGTCTGCTCCTCGGCCTGACTGAGAACCAGACGGCTGCCCTGCCCGTCCCCTGAAGACAGGGCGTCAAACCAAGGACCCAGCTGGACGCTGGCGGGCAAGGTGGCCCCAGGAAGAGCAGGGTGCCGCCCAGGTGTCCTTCTCTTTCCCAGGACGCCCATGAAGGGAAGGATGGCCAGTCCGAGCCCCGTCACCTCACCCCGCCGCCATGCAGCCATCGTCCCGTCGGAGTACTGCCTGTCCACTCTGTGCCAGGCACAGCTAGAGGCGGGCCCACTGGCAGGAGGGGCCCTTGCGAGCGGGGTACCCTGTGAGCTCCGGTGTCTGGGTGCTGCAGACCTCCCTGAGCGCCGACGCCTCCGGCCTGGGGAGCCGCAGCTTTGCGAGGTGGGAACCGAGGCTTGGTTCCAGCCCCGGCAGCGAGGCCCGGCCACCCCCCCCTCCGGTCACCCCCAGGAGCGAGGCCCGGCCACCCCCCCTCCGGTCACCCCCAGGAGCGAGGCCCGGCCACCCCCCCCCTCCGGTCACCCCCAGGAGCGAGGCCCGGCCACCCGCCCTCCGGTCACCCCCAGGAGCGAGGCCCGGCCACCCCCCTCCGGTCACCCCCAGGAGCGAGGCCCGGCCACCCCCCCTCCGGTCACCCCCAGGAGCGAGGCCCGGCCACCCGCCCTCCGGTCACCCCCAGGAGCGAGGCCCGGCCACCCCTCCTCCGGTCACCCCCAGGAGTGAGGCCCGGCCACCCCCCCTCCGGTCACCCCCAGGAGCGAGGCCGGCTCTGAGGCAGGAGGCAGAGGTGGCGGTGCCGTCTCAGGGAGGCAGTGAAACAGGGTCGGGTTCTGGCCCGAAGCGCATGGGAGGGCAGAGGCGCAGGGGGCGGGTGCCGG